CGCCTGTGGCTCAGTGAGTAGAGCGCTGGCCCCATATACCAAGGGTGGCAGGTTCAAACCTGGCCCTGGCCAAACTGCAACCAAAAAAATAGCTGGGTGTTGAAGGCGGGGGTACCTATAGTCCCAGCTACTCAGGAGACTGAGGCAAGAGAATCACTTAAGCTCAGGAGTTGGAGGTTGGTGTGAGCTGTGTGACGCCACGACACTCTACTGAGGTTGACAAAGTGAGACTGTCTGTACAAAAAAAAAAAAACCAAAAGAATTCATAGTTTAAATTCATTCTTGTTCGCTAAGGAATACAAAACTTTTTGTTTTGGAAATTTTGAGACTTACTTTTTTTTTTTTTCAGAAGATTTTTTTGAAAAAGGGTTGTAATAAATTTTTAATTTTCCCAAAGGAGGTGGAGATTTTTTCTAGATTTTTTTGGAACCATAGCCGAATGTATAAAATACTCTTTCTTCTCCTTTTTTATGTAATGATATGCTTTTCAATTTTAGATCGAAAGTATCCAGCTTATGATGGACAGTGAAACAGGTCGATCTAAAGGATACGGATTTATTACAGTAAGTAATTACTATGATTAACATAAGGTTTTTTTTTTAATCTAAAGAGCATAGTAAATTTACATTATTTACTAATTCTGAGGAATAGGACATGGTTAACATTTTTTTAATTTAGGTTAATATTTTCAAATGGTTTAAATTAGCTTTTTCTTAGTAAGCAGTAAGTGTTCACCAAATCTGAAAATTTATTGAACGATGTCCCTATTGTCCTGTACTGTATGTAATGTTAATATATGGTCTTTTAGATCAGCCAGCTCATCATATATTTAGAGTTTTTCTGTTTGTTTGTAACTGAACTATAACACTTGCTTACTAAATGAAGGTCTTCTGGGTTTTGTTTTATGCGAAATCATTTTTATATGTATATACCTCACAAATACGATCAGGATTGTCTTCCTAAAATGTGTTTTCTGCCTACTGTGGTGACTCACATCCTTAAATCACAAAACTTTGGTAATCTGAGGAAGGAGAATTGCTTGAGGCCCTGGGTTTAAGACTAGCCTGTGCAACATAATTAGATCCTGTCTCTACAAAGAATAATTAGCCAGGTGTGGTGAATGTACCTGTTGTAATCTCACCTACTCAAGAGGTGAGGTGAGAACATCACTTGAACAGGGATTCAGGGTTACAGTGAGCTATAATCATGGCACTTTCCTCAAGCCTGGGAAACAGATGAAGATGTATCTACCAAAAAAATAAAGTGACATAAAGTAGTACTTGGCTAAACAGGCTAGCCCAGTCCGAGTAGGGTTAGGAGTTGCCAATAGTTTGGAATGGATGTGCTTGTGCTTTTTTCTGTTTTCTTTAAGATAGTCTCTTGTGTCCCTGACAAGAGATGATGTTATCATCATAGCTCACAGCAATCTCAAACTCCTGGGCTCAAGCAATTCTTCTCCCTCTATTTTTCTATTTTTAGTAGAAACAAGGTTTTTTTTTTTTTTTTTTTGCGCGACTGAGCCTCAAGCTCTCCCCCTGGGTAGAGTGCCATGGCATCACGCTCACAGCAACCTCCAACTCCTGGGCTCAAGCGAGTCTCCTGCCTCAGCCTCC